TCCCTCCTTCCCTCCTTCCCTCCTTCCCTCCTTCCTTCCTTCTCCTTTCATCCATCCATCTATGTACATATCTATCCATCCCTCCATTGTCTCTAAATGTTCATCTCCACAAATGACTTACCAGATAGCCCAGCACACCCCTGGTATACGGATGGGAATGTAGGATACACAAGGTTGAAACCCATTTCTGGAACTCATATCATCACCTAAGAATTCGTTGTACTACTTTTTAAGAAATATGTTTTCATTGATTTTAAAGAAAGACAGGGAGAGGGGGAGAGAGAGAGAAACATCAATGAGAGAGAAATATCAATTGGCTGCCTCCTGCCTGCCCCCTACTGAGGATGGAGCACAAAACTGGGACATGTGCCTTGAAGGAGAATCGAACCAGGGACCCCTTGGTGCATGGGGCAATGCTCAACCAACTGAGCCACACTGGCCAGGGTGGTTGTACTACTTGTGACATTAAGAGTCCTCCACAATAAATTTGTACTTTTGTAGTTATTACTAATATTTTTATTAGCATGCATAATATTCTAGGAAAATATTTGGCTTCGTGTCAAAGGACTCCATTCTTGCTTTAGGATCACCACTCAATGGTAAGTTATTATATTCATGGGCCTTAACTTCCTCATCTTTAAAAAGAGAAAATAATTATTTCACTCACTTGTGAGAAATAAATGAGATATAGAAGTCCCTCCATGATTTCAGTTACCAGCAGTTAATATCAGTTGGAAAATATTAAACTGAAAATTCTCGAAATCAAATCCATTGCTTTCAACTGGGGCGCCTTTCTGCAGAGCGTGATAGAAGCTCACACCAACCAGGCCATCCACCGGGTGTGAATCACCCCTTTGTCCAGGGGCTCCCTGCCCATTAGTCACCTAGTAGCTACCGTGGTTATCAGCTCTGCTGGAGTATCGCAGTGCTTGTGTGCACATAACCCTTATTTTACTAAATGGCCTCAAGCACAACAGGGGTGATTCTGGCAACCCGGATATGCCATCAAGTGCTTCCTTTGCGTGATAAGGTAAACACAGTACAAGACATTGTGTGTGAGGGGCAGAACATGTGGACGTAACTACTACAGTCTATGCTTTTATTTGTCTATTCTATTATAGTTATTGCTGCTCATCACTTACTGTGCCTCCTTTATAAATTAAACTGCCATAGGTATGTAAATATGGGAAAAGGCATAGTACCTAGGGTTCAGTGCAGCCCTTGGTTTCATTCCCACCAGGACACAAGGACCATTGGGTATGTTTGAAGGGAGGATACATGGATTGTAAATTAGAAAAGAGGTGAAGGCTCCCTGTCTGTGAGTCTCCCTCTATCTTGCTTGTTAGTTCGCTTTGTTCATTAGAGTCCACATACGAGGGAAATCCTGTGGCGCTGTCTTTTCTCTGACTGGCTCCTTTCAGAGAGCAGGCTGACAGCTGGGGGAGGGAGTGGGGAGAGGCATTGAGCAAAACAGGAAAAAAAAAAGAGAAAAAAACTCATGGACACAGACAACAGTGTGGTACTTGTAGGTTTTGGGGGCAGGGGGGGAGGGGTAGTGGAGGAGGGTGTAGGGGGACAAATGGCAACGATGGAGACTTGACTTGGGTGGCGAACACACGTTACAGTGTACAGGGGACGTGCTATAGAATCATGCAACTGAAACCTATAGAATTTTGTTAATCAGTGTCATCCCAATCAATTCAATTATAAATATAACTAAATAAAATAAAAATTAAAGAAATGAAGGAACTACATGTTCACTTTAGTGCTCCAATAAAAATCTAAATTGGAAAACATTTGTCGAAACCGGTTTGGCTCAGTGGATAGAGCGTCGGCCTGCGGACTGAAGGGTCCCAGGTTCGACCCGGTCAAGGGCATGTACCTGGGTTGCGGGCACATCCCCAAAAACATTTTCAATTATATACACATACACCCATTTCTCTTTGAAATTTATCTCTCAGCCAAAAAGATGATAGTGTGTATGTTAATGGAATGAAAGAATTGTGACCTTTTATTGTTCAGAATAGTACACAGGACAATAGATTTTCAGGAAATCTCTATCATAGTGGTTCTCAACCTGTGGGTCGCGACCCCTTTGGGGGTCTAATGACCCTTTCACAGGGGTCGCCTAAGACCATCAGAACACACATATATAATTACATATTGTTTTTGTGATTAATCACTATGCTTTAATTATGTTCAATTTGTAACAATGAAATTGGGGGTCACTACAACGAGGAACTGTATTAGGGTTGCAGCATTAGGAAGGCTGAGAACCACTGCTCTATCAGATACCAGGGAATTAAATAAAAACACACAAATCCATTGAAAAGTATTGGGAAAAGACTGACTCCAGATACTCTTAGCCCAAAATAGCCTATCTTTTATACTTTGTACAACTTGTTCATTTTCTTTGATCTTCAACTGAATTCAGCCATTGTAGATTCTTGGTAGGTGCAGAGTCTAAATATTCCACTAAGAAAATGTTTCTTTTCTCCTGACACACTGACAACTATTGTAAAGCATAAACTAATGGCAGTAGTGATCTAGCAATAAACTTAAAATGTTACAGAACATTTACATTTCTCGTTTCGTATTCAAACTTGCAGTCCTCCCTCCCTCCATCTATTACACTCAAGGACTGTTTAAATTAATGACATATTTAGCTGGCTGACCAACGCATGAAAAACACAAATCTCTTTGTTGATAAAAGTTTTACCAAAACCTTTTGTGGAACCTGAAAACTGAACACCATTCCTTTAATAAGAAAATTGTACATTTTCCTTTAGTAGCATGCATCCTCCAGAATGTTGTGAACTCCTCCCCCCCGCCCCCCAACACTTTTCAGAATCTGTAGAATTATCACTCTCCATTTCAGGAACATTCTTCTTGATTCATTATACACTGTATATGAGCTCACTTCTTATGGCTACCCTTGGTTATGAAAATAAGACACATTTATAGGAATCACACACTGAAAGTAGAAGAAATCCACCAAATTCTGTGGGTCTTTAATGATTTGTTCAATTGTATTTTCCTTTCAGTTAACATTTGGGGAAAGTCTGAATTGAGATTCTCATGTTCTATCTCTCTTACTAGTATGTAGTTCATTGAAAGAACACCATTACATTGTTCATTGTGGCTGGAAACCAACTGGGTGGTGTCACAAGCATATTAAATATGCAGGAATATGTTTCTAACACTATGGAACCGTCTACAACAGTGGTTCTCAACCTTCTGGCCCTTTAAATACAGTTCCTCATGTTATGACCCAACCATAAATTATTTTTGTTGCTACTTCATAACTGTAATGTTGCTACTGTTATGAATCGTAATGCAAATATCTGATATGCAGGATGGTCTTAGGCGACCCCTGTGAAAGGGTCTTTCGACCGCCAAAGCGGTCGTGACCCACAGGTTGAGAACCACTGGTCTATATGATTAGGGTTGGTCATAGCAGTGCTCACCCACCAGGAGGTAGTGTGCTTTACAAATATCAGTTTCATTGTGGTTTTTTTTATAAAGAAGAAAATAATATCCAAGAAGCTTTTAGTTTATCTATAAACCAAAGTATAGTTAATTGTGAATTCTCTTATCTCTCTCACAGGAAGATTGAATTCAATCTAAAATATTTAAATTTCATCAATAATCTAAATATTACCTACTATAACAAACATTTAGACCTGAACTTGATGTTTATTGTTCTTATTTGTTCTATATCCTTAATTGCTTTTAAAATCTTAAAAAATTTTTCCCCAATCGTACCTATATAGTTTTGTTAATCCAAATATTTCCTGGTTGAACCTAATGTGAGAATTCATGTGTATTTACAATAATTCAGTAACACTCAAAGGTGAATATAAGACATTAGTATGATATTTGAAGTTCCGTATGATTATATAAACATTTTGAGAGAAATGAAGGTTTATAATTTACATGGGAGGAAGCATTTGTTAGATGATGACTATAATAATGACATTAATAGTTCTATCATTAATAATTACTGATAATCTAGTTTTGATGACAACAGTGCTGCAATCTCTTTTTATTTGCATTTATTTTTTTAACATGCAGCAAAGGCCATCTTTCTCCTGTTTATGAAATCGCTTGTGGCTATCTGTGCTCTTTCGGATTTCTGGGAGATACATTTATAATTGCATATGGTGCATTGACATATATGAACAAGTTCCATGATTTCCCAAACTAACACAATAGTTCTGAAGTCACATTGCGAAGGAGTTCATTTAAAAATTTCACCAGATTGCCAGGATAATAAGAGCGAAGACCATGCAAACAGAGTGCAATTTTCTCCAAAGATGATAGCCCCAATCAAACGGGAACAATACGTGAAATTAAGCCAGTCAGAGGAAGACAAATAGCACATGATTTCACTCCTATGGCGTGTAATAAACAAACTGAACCACCAAGCAAAATAGAGGCAAACTCATAGAGGGGAGGTAGCTAGCTCCTAGGTCCAGGGGTGAGGGTAGAGGGACTGAGCAAAAAAAGAAAAGAGAGAGAGAGAGAACTCATGGACATGGACAACAGTGTGGGAATTGCCAGGATAGGGGTGGGGGTGGGGGTGGAAGAGAGCATAGAGGGGACAAGTGGTGATGGAAAAACTAAAATAAAATAAAACATTTTTAAAAAGGAACAAAAGTCCAGGTCCACACTCCCACTGGCTGTTGACTATTACCCCTAGTAGCTGACTGATAAAATGCACGCCGGAGAGACACAGACACATGATTTTCCTTTGGCACACCAGAGGAACACCCTGGAACCTTCTACCTCTATGGCATGCTAACTGTGGCATATGCATTTCTAAAAAAAAAAATGGTGCCTTCCTGACACCAGCCGGCTCCCTCCCCGTGCCTGTGCGTGGTGCCAGCTTGCCTTTTAGCCTGCACAGCCATGAGCTGCCAAGAGGTGGGTTGTAAAGGCAGAGCCTCACTTGGTAGTCTCAATAATGAATTAGAAGACGCAAGCAGCGGACTTCTTACCTTGAACTGACAGACACAAGTCACAGTGTCTCCAATCCTTAAGCACTCCCCGTCAAATTTACAGGTGTTGGTGTCACAGAGGAAGAGATCATTTTCTCGGTCGTCGTAGCCTCAAATGTAAAGAGGACACTCCAGTCATTAAAACTGTCATAGACTTTAACAAAAACAGTGGTCTCTTGAAGCTTTAATTACCCTAAATTTTAATTCGGACAACCACAGCAAGGTCATTCTATTGATAACCTAAAAAAAATCTAATTAAGTAATCAATATTTGTTTCTTTTCTTCACATTGCCTTTCTCTTTTAATATCTTTTTTTTAGTAGTGCTCTTTTATTTTAGCTTGGGTTGAAACTGACAATGCTGAATGGATACTCAACACTGGCATCCTGGCTTCCTCACTGTTTTCTCATTAAGTGAACTATAGTTTATGACCCCCACAGGCCACATTTTTAAAGAGAACTACTGACGGTCTCTGAATGACATTTCACCAGTTCTCCATCTTTAATCATCCTTTTGCTTTACGGTCTGAAACAAGCCCTTATTTGGAGTTTCTCCAGACAAAGAGAAACAAAGCCCCAAATAATAAAGATAAACAGGCGCAGTGTTTGCTGTGATGGTCTGTCTGGCTCGAATGAAGATTGATCCCCCGTAAGTTAACAGGGGTAGGGGTGGGGGTGCCCGGGTCTTGACAATCTGCCTGGAAAGCCAGTCCATTCTCTCTAGCTCCTGCAGATCCCTTTAAGAAATCCGGCTAATAATAAATTTCTTCATTGCCAACCTCAATCTCTAAAATAATACTCCAGTGAGGGATGAAGCAAACCGGTCATGTTGGACTACAAGGCTATCACCATCTCAAACAATTGATTTTGCAGGTTGTTTCATATTCCTATGACAAAGCACCTGACGGCTAAGTGGGAATTCGTCTTTCCGAAATGACATACGTGCACACGTGAACCACGCAGGAGTAAGTTACAGAAAACATGTTGAGTTTTAGAAAAACGCCAAATGTAGAAATTGTTAACAACAGAACAAAGCAATCTATTGACCCAAACCAAATAGGGTTGCAAATCTTAACTGGTACTTACAAAGCCCCAGCTACAGTGATGCACAGTGATTTTTCTAGAGTAATTTCTATAACCAAGAGCCCAGGGCGCTATGCTTTCGCCCTGAAGTTACAGTTGGTCATGCCGTCCTCCCCAAAGTTCCCTGCGCTTCAGCTCACATACATGCTCCCAACGCCGCTCCATTCACAGCCAGGCTCAACTGCAGAAGGACCACAGGGACAGACGCTGGAAAATGGCATGCCCGCTTGCTAAAGCTAGAACAGCCCAGGCCTGCGGGACAACACCGGCTTCTGATGGAGCTGAAATGCCAAGGGACTAGCTGGCATCACCCTCCGGGCGCGCTAAGGGCTGCCCCTCTCACTCGGAAAGGCTAAGGCAGCCGGAGAGGAGAGCGGCAACTTCCACCCCGGCGGGCGGCAGCTTCATGAGGCTTCAGCCCAGCCACGCCGGCCAAGCCCGGCTCTCTGACCCCCAAGGGCCCCGGGAGAAGGAAGAGCGCCAGCTCGCTCAGGAGGTCCGCTCAGCACTGGAGGGGTCAGCCCTGCCCACCGGTTCGGTCCGGTTCCCTCGTTCCCTGCACCGGGGCGGGTGAGCCGGAGGCTCGGTCCTGCCCATGCCCGGCCTGGGAGCCCTGCGTGTGAATGATTCTGTCCTCAACTTCCCTGAGCCACCAGGAGCTTGGGGTGCAGGAGAGGCGTCTGTGGGCTGCCCAAGCAAGGTCTTTTGCAGCCAAGGAGAGAGAGGGAGGGAGGGAAGGAGGGAAGGGGAGAGGGAGGGAAGGAGAGAGGAAGAGAGGGAG